GTCAAGTGAGACTCAACGATTCTAATTCTCCGGTTTCCTGAAGGTCCCCACAGGCATCTTTGACCCTCATGCCGTTCCAGCCCCTTACTGAGTGGTGGCGCGTTGAAATTGATGATGACGCCCTGAGCAACGATACACACAGGACGTGAAGCTTTCATTTTGTTTCCATACTCCTGAACGCGGAATATTTCATCCTCATCACCCGTGTCCTGTTGTCTTTGGCTTTGACAAAAACATGAGATTCGAGCTGATTGGGCTACACGGCAGATCGCGTTCTCGAATCTCGGGACCGAGAAGAGCGAGCGCTTCATTCAGGGGCAAAACCAGGCAGCACAGCCCGAATGCCTGGTTTTCTCCTTGCTTTTTCAATGTGACTTTCGATTCATTGGCCTTGCCGACACAAACAAAAACCAGCGCAATTCCAAAGTGCTCAAGCTAGCAAATACCATCATGCAAGGATCGAGATCCCAGTACGGGTACATGTCCCCCGCCTCATTCGCCCGTTCTGGACCAGTCTCGCGGCGGAATCCCGTCAGGGGGAGGCACAGTCCCCTTTTGGACATCCACGAAATCCGTGTTATTCGAGCATACCTTCAAAATACGGGACTACAAACTAGCCCCGTTTGCTGGGGCCGTCACACAAGAATTGCTTTATTCATCAAACGGATGAATCGGCGCTAAAAATACATGGGATCCGTCGGCAAACTTCTGAGACAGATCATCACAGCCACATCGTCACGAAAACCGTTGAAGTGCCCGTGAAAGGATGCTCTAAATCACCGCTAGGACGATTTCCGAGATGAGGTGGCGCGCGAATCCCGTCGCGCGACCCGCTTAGTATCGTCTAGGGGCGCCGCTGGGCCTGGAGCTAAGCCGTAAGGCAGGTGTCGGTCTTGGGTTGAAATTCTTGATAAATGGAACTCGAGAACGACGAGCAGAACATCTTTCCCCTTCTCTCTATCCATCCTTGACAGCCTGGCATCTAATACCTGAAGACTCCATCACCGGATCACTACACTCTTTTACATCCAAATCAAGCATAATTATTTTCGTTAATACCATTAATACTGTACACCCAAGCCAACCAACCTTCAAGATGTCTTTCAGATACCTCGCCACCATGGCCATCCTGGCCACCACCGCTCTGGCCAAGACCGACCTCACCGGCTGCACATCCTCCGACTCGGTCGTCACGCCTTCCGGCGGCGGTACCCCCTACGCAACCCGCGTCTACTACGTCCCCGGCACCGGCGAGATCTGCGCCGCCCTCGACTGCGGCGGCGGCCGCGCCCCTCCCAAGACGACCGTCCCGGGCTGCCCTTCGTACGAGGGCACCGAGACCTACTCCCCGTCTTTCCTGCCCCTCAAGACCACGTCCGCCGTTGTCGCCCAGTCTACCCAGGCCACTGTCACAACCATGACCCCCAAGGGTGACTCGACTGCCTCTGCCTCCGGCTCCGCCTCCGTCACCGCGGCCGCCGACAGCAGCTCCATGAGCGGCAGCAAGTCAGACGACGTCCAGGTCCAGACCGACACCCTCTTGACGGTCACCAGCTCCATGGCGGCCACCACAGCGGCACCCGGCAATGGCACCGTTGCTACGACTGGCAGGTCCGGAAGCAGGACGACTGGCACCGGCGCTGGCGCCTCCGGCTCGCCCACCAGCGTCCCCAACGGCGCTGCCGCCGGCGTGTCCAACATGTTCGGTCTCATGGCCGGCGTTGCCCTCGGTGCGGCTGCGTTGCTGTAGATGGCTAGCTTAAAAGAAGTGGTTGTATTATGAGCCCTCTGCGATTTCTCGCGACGTACAGGTCTCGTTCCTTGTTCATAGACATTGTAATCGTATAATACAAAAAAGACCCAGTTACCATTCTATCCCACCTGCTCGCCTGCATAGAAGTTCGGGACCCGTTGCAGCAGTGATTCGTACTCTTGGTCGGCGTTCGTGAATTCCCAGCCACCTTCGAGCCCGTTGCTCCGCCCCGGTTCCAAGCGGAAGCCGTATACGTTCGTCCATGACCACTTGTCAATCTTTTGCGTCTTGGGATAAATCTCGAATGAGACGAAGCAGATTGCGCTCTCTGCGGAGACGGCCTCGACTCTTCCGCCGCGAGGTCTGATATCGGTGCCGATCCCGCTCTGGTTTAGTAGTCGAAGTTGCTTGAAGACGCCGGGAACGGGGTCGTTCGGCAAGACGGTGACCTCTCCGAGGTTGAAGCTCGTAAAGTTCGTGAGGTAGAAAGATGCTAAGGAGGCAGCGACTTCTTGGAGAGGAACAGAGGTATTTCCGCCCTTTTCCGTGGCAAGACCATAAGCTGTGATTGCGGCGCGAGCTGCTTCTCTGATGTTTACCATTGCAGAGGTTGGAAATGGTCTTGAAAGAGTAGAGATCAATGTACACAAAGAGGATAGACATGTCATGAGAAAAAAGCGATGAATGACACAGGAACAACACACATGCGGACCTCTAAGGCCCCCGAGCAGCGTCAACAGGCGAGGTCGCACACTTCCGGTATGCAGTCTCAAAAGTAAGAAACGACGTCGTACAATCACCACAGAAATTGAGCGATTTACTCAAGTCCACCCCGCAACTCATGATATGGAATACGAGAATGCGAAGCGGTCGCTATATACCGTTCGGCAGTCCTCGCACGCCGACCGTCCGCACGAAAAGTCCGGCCACGAGTCTCTGACGGACGTCAAACGGTCTTCGGTAGTCTGTTCAGGTTGCTTATTACAAGCTAATTGGGCAAGCTTTTGCCAAGGAGCGCCCTGCGCGGCTAAGCTTTTTCTTCTCCGCGGGGTGGGTGGTTCGAGAATAACCAGGCTGCTGGCGCTGTGTGTTCATCGCCGTTGGCTCGCGGGGAATGCATGTGAGATGAACTCAACCGTTCCAAGAGGGAGAGTTTCCTTCGGTTTGCTAGAGTTTTGCGCCTGTCGTGGGCTATCCCGTTCAGCTTGACCATGACTAAAGCATGAGGTGAGCAGAGAGGTAACTTGTGTTGAGGTTACCCCTAACCCCGCGCTGCTTTCCGACCCAGGATGAAAGACCGGATGTGAGACATCGATTGGCGCCACCAGCTTGTGAAGCCGCGGAAGATAGGTGGTTCATGGATGCCGGTCCCGAGTCAGCACGGCTATATCCGATCGGTCTCTTACCCGGTTGGCACCGGAAGACCCGCACAATCGGGGCCACAATGACGGCGGTGCTGACGGGGACTTGACCCACAACCCCGAAGGATTCCGATATGACAGTCATCCTGGCCTGAATTGAGAATCCTCTTACGATTTAGATGAATTTTGTCACAGCCCTTTCTTACTTCAGGACTTTTCATGTCAAACACTTCGGCACAACAATCGAGAGACATTGTTTTCAAACGCAAATGGAATTCTGTCTTTGAGTAGCTGGAATGGCCAAGACGCCGCGCAGCCATTGGCAAATTATGTCAAAAGCATCCGCATTATCAAATATTTCTGGGGGACCACGACTATCCACGGCAAAAATCCCAAATCGAAAACTACGAGTTCAATGTCTGTCAAACAAGGGTTGAACAAGCCACTTGACGGCAATATTTCCATTCACATGAATACTTCGTTCCCATGGTACGAGTTTGAGAATCCTATAGGGCATTTGAATACATGTGATGAAGACCATGAACTGGCACCCATTTCTGTGCGCTCGCACGAGCATTCGCGGCTTGTGTAACATGGCCCTCCCACTGACTTTTGGCTACCAAGACGTCTTGGTACCGATTGTTGAACGACTCGCGTCGATCTGCATGGCTAACACATAGGTATTAGATGAATTTCTTCAGGAGAAAGCTCGAAATCGCTTACAATGCTGTGTCTGTAGCTGCAGCACCTGCCAAAGGTTCCAGAATCTGATGACTGTTCCTGGTATAGAACTTGTTCATGACGGGACCAAAGGCTGGATCAATCGGGTCGTAAGGCGTTGTCTTTTTCTCCAATGGTTTGGCTGTCGCTTTATAAGTCGTTGTTGATGTTGCGGCCTTGCCTCCAGCCTTCTTGTATGCTTCGTATTTGTTGCCGATGGATGGTATGGCCTTGGCGATAGGAGAGGTCGTCTTCAAGGCCAGTGTACTTTTTCTGCAGCTCAGCTACTTGTTTGGGATCGGGCTTGAAGTCCTTGTTGGGATTGGCCTTGCGACTTTTGAACATGGCTGAATAATAATTTGAACAAGTGACCAGCACTGTGTGATGAAAACGAGATATAAAAGCTTCCGAAAGACGGATGCTCAACGTCGCAGCGCGAGTACGGACAAATGAAAAGAGTGCGCGGATAAGGATACAAAGTGATAGTTCAGTGACTGAATGAGGAGTTCAATGAGAGGATGCCTTTCACAATGTGATGCACCATTATATACTAGCGGAGTTTTCAAGAACCTATATTACTATATTCCTGTCTTTGGGCCTCAAAGCTGGCTTCGGCCGTTTAGCGCTGCGACTGCTTCGACTGAGGCGTTGAGGGCAGCATAGCAGTGTCAAAATTATCGAGCGCTTCGAGAAGCATGTAACCAAGGAACATTGCCAGGAGAGAGCGGTTATGTTGGTGAGGTTTTTCATGCTGGTCTCTTCATGAACGAGGTTGTTTGGTGTTGTCAGCTGTTGGAAAGTTTAGTCTATGTTGTTGGTCGTAAACGCTGTTCTTCGGCGGCAACGTTGGCCAAGATGGTCGCAGCAATCTTCAAGTTTTGTTGGTTCGATGTTCCCTTTCTCGTGGTATATATCGATTTCTAACCAATCAGAATGGCATGTATTGGTAAGACTGCATCACCAACAGCATAGACTATGATCATGCTATTTCTGTAAGCGCCGTGACAGTCATCTAGGGGATGGGCGCAGCGGCAAAAGTGGAGACAGAATTATGCGGGGTCCTTTCTGGTTCGCCGCAGGTCATCGACGCAATTGTTTCTCCCTTATCTACTCCATTGCTTCTTGTAACTCTCTTCCAACAAGCCATAGACTTCTGCATTCTCACAATGACTCTCATTACCGACATTCCATGCGAATTGATCGCTTCCATACAGCGGAACCTGGACGATTTGCGGTCGCTCACACCAGTTCTGCTCAGCTGTCGCCATATATACTCCTCATACAAGCAGAGCCCGAACATAGCAGCGGCAATCCTACGTCAGAAAGTTACGCCAGCTCTCCTCCCGTACGCAGTAGCTGCTTCGGAAGCCCACAGTCTGCCTCGGCCACGCGATGGCGACACAATCCAGGGCTTGCTCGACGCCCTGTATCAAGAACCATTGAGCCTAGCTAATCGGGTGACATCGTTACCTATGACTACGTTGATGGGAATGAGCCGTACGCATGACATGATCCTCGCTTTGACGACAGACTTTGCGAATGATGCATGGAACCGTCTTCGACAGGCCGATGATAGCTTGCCTCTGACCGTCTCATTATCAACTACAGAGCAATTTCGCTTCTGCAGGTCTTTCTATCGCATCCAAATATTCTACGGGCTGTTCACGGGCAGATCGTCTAACCCAAACACGATATTTGAAGAAAGCGTCAACAGTTGGTTCTTTTCGAAACATCCATTATGGGAAAATGAGCAGCTTGGCTGCATCCACGATTTCCTCGAAGCAAGACTTGCGAAAGGTGAGACTCAGGGAGATGGGTAGAGTTCTCACATGTGTATCAACAATGACTAACAATTAAACACAGCATCGATTGATGTACATGCCCATGACGTCAATTTCGGCGAGTTCTCAGTTGACTATCTAATTGGAGGCGAAGAGAACATTTACAGGCAGATGTGGGTTAGTACACATCTTACACGCGACCGGCTTGGCTATTGGAGTACTTTGCTAACAACCAACTCAACATGAAGCTCTCTCAGGGGGTTGGATTCATCCATCAACTGATCAATGAAGAATCCTACGATGGCAAGAGAGATATGCTCACGGAGCACCCAGACATCGGCGTGGCAAACTTTCCTGGAGCTTTAGCCAACGTGCTGGTGGCATACCAAGGCGCCAACGCCTTCGTAGGGCGCGAAGAAGAGCTACTCTACGAAAATGTGAGCCGAGTGACCGATGAGGACCCTGACCAGGGGCCCTTCAATTCATGGTACGCTGCTCATGAAGGTGCACCATTGTATGCTGTCCTGATGCTTCACGAACATGAGTTGCTTCGGGATTGTGCTTACGTACTGTGGGACTGGGATCGGGTAGAGAAATATCACCTGCTCAAGGCTTTTGAGAAGCTTTCGGATGCGAGACCGTCACCTGACGAGAAAGAGTATGATGAAATGAACGAGTCTTTCCACGAGAGATCACAGATTTGGCAAAAGGGGGGCTCTGGATATTGGAGCAAAGGCGACACCAGCGGCACATCGTGGTCAGAGAAGTCTACAGCGAGGCAATCATAGTAGCCAATGGTCATATAACTAGACAGAAAAGGTATAAAAGAGCCCGTCAAAGTCAATTGCAAAGACTTCGTCACTTAATGACACTTGAGCCGATCGAAAATGGTGCTCTTATGTGTTCAGGAAGCATTTGTTTGAATCCACTTCAGGCAGGTAAGGCGCATTCTTGAACAGCCAAGAGGAATAATATAAGCAGCCTGTGACCCTCCCAATGGCCTTTTGACTAAGTTATTAGCTAGACTTTGATGAATTCCCAAAGATTTGTCCCGTGATTCCTCCTCACCACCGTCTTCCTATCCTCGTCCACGCAAAGCACCATTAAAGCTTGGGACCACATGCAGTATGGCGACAGCAGCTGGTAGCCTCCTTTCGGATGCTCTCTGGGCGTGAAGAGCTCCCAATTGTTGAGTTCTGTGGCCCTGGCACGCAGACTTATGTTACCGTCATGTCCCATATACCTCCCCGATGACGGATGTTGGAAACCAAAGTAGCCGTTCTTCTCGACGCAAAGCCACTGGGTAACGGTCATTTTTGCGGTGTCTTCGATATCTTTTATGACAATCAGGCCGTTGTCGAGAGTGATCGCTCGATTCGTGTGCTTCTCAATGATGTTATAGGTAGTTCCACGGCCAGGGAATCGCACCTCGGTCGCTCCAGAGACTGGCCGTAGTATTGCACTCGGTTGGAGGTGTGAGAATCGTGGATGTTGTAGAGAAGTCATCAGAGGAACGCATTTTTTTAATCAATTGGCAAAGACCATGATCAAAGAATGACGAGAACTTCAGATATTCCAGCTGAAAGGTTATGCTTAGGTATTTGAGATGATTCTGGAGACCGGGATCTTGGAGAAATCATGTGAGAGGACATGTGGGAATTGAGCTTGATATGGTTGTGTACCAGGCAAGGTTTGGACAAACTATAAGAATGCAAGTTGTCGGCCTCCTGCAGATAGTTCACCCAATGACAATGGGTTTCAACTTCAGACGCAAGGTTTCCAGGTCGCATGTGTTGGGAGTTCATTACCAATGATGGCCGGTAACTGGCCGACCTAATGAAGAAACCCCGTCATTGTCCTGTACATGAGTTTGATCCGTGTAAAGAGGCGTACGTAAACCTTTCCATTACCGTGTCTCTCGCGATTGTCGGCCTCCCGCGCACAACGACGAGAGCCAATGTTTTTGTTTCTGGGCAGAGATGTGTGGTATCATTCGTGTCTTAGGCACCTTTGCGTCAAATATCTGAATCCCAGACTTGTTCCTTCTCCTCACCACTCTCTGTCCACACGATACGGCTCGTGTCGCCTTTGCTCCAATAGCCCCTGCCTCCCTTTCGCCAAATCTTTGAGCGCTGGACAAATGACTTACGCATCTCTTTGAGTCCTTTAGGGCGATAATTTGAATGCAAAACCACGGGAGGGTTTCTCCATAAGCCGAGGAAGTGATGCTTCTTGACTCGGGCCCAGTCCCAAAATAAATAAGCACAATCTCGGTACCAGTCATTGCCATCGATCAATAGACCTCTGGTATAACTCGTGGTCAAACTGGCAGCGAACCAAGACTCGCGAGGGCCTAGATCACGATCTCTGTCTTCCTTGCGAAGAACACGTGAAACGAGTCCCTTCTTGGTAGTGTTGATTTCTCCGTCATGACCGGGCCACCTGACTTCGATCAAGCCAAGTGCCGAATGTTCATTTACCGAGAACTGAGCACCCGCGTCTTCCAGTGCCTTAGGAAAGTTGACTGCACAACCTGGGTACCGCTCAAGCAATTTTTTCATAGAATCGTAATCATCTTCCGTCACCAAATCATGAATAAACTCAACCCCTGCAGAAAGCCATTTTGATTAGGGTTTGACGCAGTAGAATATATCTTGTGAGTAAATACTTACCCAAGTCTGTCTAGTATCATTGCCCGCCCAAGGTGTGAGGTAATCTACCTTACGAAAACCGAACTCGACGTCGTGTGCGAGTACATCACAGGAAGCTGGGGAAAGGGTTGATTTCGTGAGAATCTGTGCCTGGCAGTAGAACCATCAGAGTAATGCGTACCTTTTGCGAATATCATCTCGAGAAAGTGGTATGCGCAGACGATCTGCTCATTCTCCCAAGGCGAATGCCGTGAGAAGAACCAATCATGCCACATGTCGTTGGGATCTACAAGACCTTTAAAAAGGGCGTAGAAAATTTCAAGGCGGTAGAAGGCCCGGCGAAAAACGGTCGCACTCAGTCGGTGACAAAGTTATCGCCCCGGGTAGACTCCCGTCGTTCTCACGCAAACGGCCCCAAGCAAGTTCGGCAAATTCGGTGGCGAACCCATTGATCACATTATATTTGCACTCCAAGAACAGAAGACCATAGGAGCCTGAACTCAAGTGGATGAACCGATAAAAGGTTTTCACTAAGAAGCTTGGTCGCTCAAAGAGCGCATTGAGCAGCATGCGGATATCGTTGGAAGCATTGCCAAGCCTATCAGGGTCGCTGAAAGGCTCCATCCCATCGTCGGAGACTGCATCATAGTCGGGAAGTGAATCGTTGGCATCGGAAGATTCTTCGGCGTTGTCAAGAGATTCCCCGGGACTATCAAGAGAAGGTAAGTCGGATTCGCCATGGGAATTTTCAGAGTCGCCAAGAGATCAGTCGTCGGGCTCGTTGTCGTATCCCCAAAGTTCCAGAAATATCCTTTCATCGTCGCGACATACTCCGCACAGCTCCAAAGCAGCAACGTAGGGCAATATGACTGGTCCGATGTTGCGATCAAAGATTGCAACGGCCATCTCTTCTCTCTGCTGGACGAATGCATAGAAGCGTCTCCAGCTGTGCAGAGCTGAGACCAGTGAGTGAACGCTGTCAAGATTCCACAGGATGGACTCTATGATCTCTGTTGGCAAGTCTGTGATGCGAGCCATCGTGGACCAGCAATGTGAGTTTGATGGTGTAAATCGATTTTGGGATTCTAGGCACGGATGGAGTATGAAGGATGTTCGAAACCAACAACTTTATTCCACCAGGGTCGTCGAAAGTATGTATACTACGCAGTAGACGGTTATCAGGCCCTACGCATGTGAAATCCCCGCTAGGACCATAACCTTCGTCCCCAAGTGGAGGTCTAGGCGCATTGCCAGGATACCCAGCTGTTGCAAAACCCAAAACCTCGAGCGCCTCACTTACAGCTTCCAAAGGTTGTCACTGAAGCAGTCCAGTGAGGTTGCCTTTTTCGTCTGATGACGAGATGGCCCCAAAAGTAGGTGGACCCCTGGAAAAGGCGGGTCCATTTCCGCGATAAGATAAGGAAAGAGGTTGAACCGCGGATTTGCCGCGCGCCCAAAAAATTGTCACTCCGAGCTTGGTCCGTGTTCGTCATTCCATCGCATTCGGCACCGCGTCAAGCTCTTTGCATCGCCAAATTCTCCACGATCACCGAACGAACCGCTCCCCTCGCCTCGACCGACGATTCAACAGCTTCGAACGAACCCTTCCCGACCGACGACGTAACGTTAAAACATATTCGCCATGGATCACACGCGCGACCCCTGCCCTTGGGTTATCCTGAACGGTTCGCCCCTCCTCAACACCATGACCTAAATGTCGTGATGCTAACGACCAACGCAGATTTTGGTGGTGCTTTCGCCATGGGAGGTTAGTTTTCCGCCTCTTCTCGCCCGAGCCTTTCCCTCCGAAGCTTTGCGACAGCTGCGACAGCTTTTACGAGCCGGGTCCGAAAGCTGCCCGCTCAGCTCTCTCGCTTGCATACTTCTATCAGGGCTCGGGACGATTTGATGAAACATACTGACATATTTGAAAGCGATTGGTGGAACACTCTGGCATGGTAGGTCTACCGGCTTGATTCCACCTCTGCAGCGGTTCTAATCCCGTCTCTGCAGGTATCAAGGGCTTCCGCAACTCACCGTACGGAGAACGTCGTATTGGTGCCATCTCGGCGATTAAGATGCGCGCTCCTGTTTTGGGCGGAAATTTTGGGGTCTGGGGTGGTCTCTTCTCGTCCGTGAAAAATCTCTCCAATGCTTCGAAACTTTTCGAAACTTTTAAATTTCGAAAAATTTCGAAATTTTGATGCCGATTTTGATGCTGATTTTGAGACCCAGGACTTTCGACTGCGCGGTCAAAGGAATTAGGCAAAAAGAGGACCCCTGGCAAGTGTGGCCTTTAGGCCACACTCAACAAACCACATTTCGCAGGCTGGGGAACAGTTCTGCCAGCTTCTGGCTCACGTCTCTCCGGCGCGCTCTCCGGCAACTTCACTAGCCTGGTCCCTTTAGAGGACTTAAGGTAGGCAGAGGGCCTAGTTCAGGGCAAGAGCGTACCTCAGCCAGAGGGCCCGGGTCGGCCAAAAGGCCCGGGATAGGCAGAGGACAATCCTGCTGGAGCGCTTGAGATGGTGCCAGATTGCCACAGAGAGTGCCAGAGAGAGCCAGAGAGCTGGCAGGTGGCAGCCTGTGAGATGTGGCTTGATGGGTGTGGTTTAATTCATCCCTCATGATTGCTAATATTATGTTAGGAATGCCATCCTCGCCGGATTCTGCACAGGAGGAAGTTTAGCCATTCGAGGCGGATACAAGGTCAGTCCCCCCGCAAGGAACATCATCAACCGACCATCGCCCGCACCCCTAGGCCACATTGTAAAGGCCTACCGCTTGTTGGCATTCTCCGCCACAATGGCTCTCTCTAGTGCTGTCTCTGGTGGGCTGCTGGTCTTCCCTGCGTATGTCGCAGCCCTTGAGCCCTAGGAGATGTGTAGCCACTTACTGGCAGATCTTAATATCAAGGTCGCTCGGGGATGCGGGTGATGGGTTTCGTTTAAGACAACCTTCCGCGCGAAACGACATATCTAACACAACGAGAACAGGCTGCCAGGAATGGTGCCATCGGTCAGTACAAGCAGAAATGCTGCCAAAACTTTTCTTGCTGACAAAGTGGTGCACAGGATGCGCAGTTCTCTTGGCTGTCATCGAGGGTGTCGGTATCGGATTCCAGAAGATGTTCGCGGGCTCGACCAAGTTGGAGGTGAGTTTCTGCGCAAGCCAAGCAGCATCGTTACGCCCAGAATGTACTGACCTCAGGCCTCAAAGATGCCCCAGCCTCCTCCGTCAGACGGCGCCATGGTCTAAATCTGCCCCATGATGCCTCTGAATCTGTCAACGAACCGAAGCGGTGCTTCCACGCCGCCAACGAAACGACGACGCAATCGACCACTCTCTACTCTTGCAGTTCAACCTCCTTTTCCGTGGGGGATGTTGAAATCTGTCTTTACCACGACCGACGACTTCTGTTTTTTAATCGACCAAAATCACGCTATGCGGCAGGGGAAGGCGTTCCATGTAGTATAGACAAACGGCTCCAGTCAACCGGGACTGGAGACTCTGGGGAGAATCTCATTGTGGATTTCCTGAACCGGACGAAAATTGGGGGGTGGCAATCTTGGGACAGATCGACACGGGCTATCTGATGTTTGGAAACGGCCTGGGTCATGATCCGAGATAGAAGGGATACGGCGGACTTCTCCCCTTTGACACGAGTATGGAATCTGTGTGAATAGGAATTGCACTGATATTCAACTCGCCATCTGTCTGCTTTTGCGTTCTACGTCTCGCACTGCTCATGCTCTGCTAGGCCTGTCTATCTGCACCGCGTCAGATCACCACTTCTCGGCGTACAGCCGAGCATCCATGCCCTCCTCGACTTCGTCATGGTAAATCTTCGCATGCGCCAGGCCCTCGTCATCGATCCACGCCCGGTACATCCCATTACAGTTGAAATCCTGCAGAATCTCCGACCTCACGCCGACGACACCGCCCTCCTCGTCCCTCGTGACCGCAATCTCGATCCCGATGATCCCGCCCTCGCCCTCACCCGTAACCCGCCACCGGTCTCCAGCACTCCTCTGCAACTCCCCTCCGGCCCCAGCAACAAACGACACGGCCTCCTTGCCCGACAAAGGCTTAAACCTCGCCACAGCCCCGACCGTCCTGCCCGCGGCCACTCTCCAAAACGAGTCCCCGTTCCCCGTGCCCGACGCCGCGATCGCCCTCGTAGTCTTCACCGCCTTCCCAAACACAGGCGTGTAAACGCTCAAAGAAGGGAGACAATCCGCCATCAACCCCCTCAAGCTCTCCGACAACACAACCCCAGGACCGGCCTTCCCAAACGCCCCCGTCGGATCCCCCTCCTCAACCCACTCTTCCGCCCAAAACCCAGCGCCCACACTCGGCGTATCCCCAATCCTGCCCATCAACTTATTCGTCAGCCCGCCCGTCGAGGTCGCCGCGCACACCACCCCCTCCTCGTCCAGCGCCACCGCGCCCACCGTCCCCTGCGGCAGGAACTCGCTCCTGCTCCACGTCGCATTCCCCTCCTCGCCGGTGCGCTCCCGCTCCAGCGCGCGGATATGCTCGTCCCACCGCCGCTGCGTGAAGAAGTACCCCGGCTCCACGAGCTCCAGCCCGTACTTCTCCGCAAGCAGCTCCGCCGTCGGGCCGTGCAACAGCGTGTGTCCCTGCGCCGACGGCGCGTCGATGTCGGAGGAGGAAGGGTGCGAGTCGCTGCCGCCGCCGAGGTCCGCCTCGCCGTGCTCGAGCATCGCCTTGGCGAGCAGGATCGGGTTCCTGACGTGCCGCAGGCCCGTGACGCCGACGCCGCGCTTGGCGAAGCCGCGGGTCACCATCACGCTGGCCTCGAGCTCGTTGATCCCGTCGCGCGTGAAGACGGCGCCGTGGCCCGAGTTGAAGAGCGGGCTGTTTTCGAGGAGGGTGACGGCGTGGACGGCTGTTTCCAGGGCGCTGGGCAGGGCTGCGGTTGCGGTGGTGGGGGTGGGGGTTGTCATGTAGGCGTTTGTCTTGCTGATCTGTGATTACTCTGTTAGTTCTGACTTCGACGGTGAGAGAGGAGGGATGCGTGTACGATTGTCAAGAGGGCGGCGCGGTACTCGGCGTACTGCGGCGGCGCGAGGTTGGCGGGTTTGATGTTGCCCGCGCCGCCGTGGATGATGAGCCGCGGCTTAACCTTGACGGCCGTCGGGGATTGGCGCTTGTACTCCATTTTCAGGTCTGTGAGATGCGATGAGATCCAGAAAACATTCAATACATCAGGATGAGCGCTTTATGAGACTGGGAAAGGTTGTGTGAGAGGTGCCGGTTTGAGACGACGTCGGGGGAGTTGACCGGGTGTGGTTGATAAGATAAGATAAGCTGGACAGCCCAATCCAGGAAGCTCTCCGGTGGGAATCGGCACCGGGAGGCCGAAGTTCGGATCACGTCAATGGGGAGGTTGGAGGCGACATTTGGAGCAACGCTGCGAGTCAGGCATTTCGCAATTCAAAAGCGCGGCGTGTGTGCTTCTAGGAATGCTCTATGATTTTTTGGGTATCCTTTCTATGTTTTACAATCCAGAATCCTATGTTTAATCACCCCTCGAACGCCCTCTTTTTGATAAGTATGTGCTACAAGCGCGCAAAGACAGAACCAATGATTTCCCTGCTTTTCAGAAGGTTGATCACCCTTAGTCGCTCATTGTCCAAGTGACCGCCGTCGCTGGACTGGCCGCAGGGCAGATGAGCAGCCGGGGCGCCGAACTCCTTCTCGAGGAAGCGGATGGCGGGGATGGAGCCACCCTCGCGGATGTACAGCGGCTTCTTTGGCCTCTGTGCCTTCTTCTTCTCTTGCGATGTTTCTTCTCCGTTGTTGGCATCGCCGGTGTCGAAAACATCACCCCAGGCCTTTACGATGGCTTCTTCGAGTGCCTGAAAGATCTCGTTGCTGGGATCGCCGAGCCAGGGTTCGGCCTTGTTATCGATCTTGATGGACAGCGAGTTCTTGGACTCGAGTAGTCCAAATTCAGACTCTAGATAGGTGTTCAGGGAGGCAATGACATCGTTGACTTCTTGACCAGGCACCAGGCGCAAGCTGATATTTGCGCTTGCGTGGCTACTGACTAGACTGCCGTCCGGGCCAGAGACCTTGTATCGGTGGATAGTCAAGTTGGGCTCTCTCCAGCGTGCCATCAGTGCCGTCTTGAGCTTATCCTCAGGACCCTTTTCAGGGTTCTGGCGCATTAGAGTCGACGCGATCTCATCGTAGCGGGTTTCTTCTTCGGCAGTAACTGGTAAGATGCTTTCGTAGAAGCCGGGGATGAGAACCTTGTTCCCAGGACCCTTGAGTTTGGACAGTGTGGACGTAAGGTCGGAGAGGGGTTCGTTGTTCATGTATGAGCCGTCAACACCGGAGTGGAGATCAGGTAGGTGGGAATCGGCGCAGACTGTGGCGTGAAGAACACCACGTAGGCCGTATGTGAGGCAGGGAACCTCGTCATCGAGCCAATAGCTGTTGGCTAGTAGGATATAGTCGACGTCGCCGATGAGGTCCTTGTTCTTGCGGACAATCTCTCTGAAGCCGCGAGAGGCGGACTCTTCTTCGCCCTCGATGAGGAAAATAATGTCGTTGGCGAGCTTCTTTGCTTGGAGAAGGTCTGTGACGGCATACAGGGCGGCCATGATAGGTCCCTTGTTGTCACTGACACCTCTGCCGTGGAGATAGCCGTTGATGCCTTTCATCTGGAACGGGTCGGTTTCCCACTTGCCCTTCTTGTTGTCTGCTGGCACGACATCGTAATGACCGTAGAATAAGATTCTCTTCCGCTTCTCAGCTGGCTCGAGCTTGCCGTTGAATTTGGCGAGGACGACTGGGTTGTGGGGACTGCTTTCCGTGCTCAGCATCTCGACCTGACCACCCAGGCGCTTGAACAGGGAGCCAAGGAAAGTCGCTCCTTTTCGGCAGTCTTCTGCGAATTCCGGTCGCGAAGAGACGGTGCGATACGAGACGAATTCTCCCAATGATTTGACCATGACATCGTCTGCCTCATCCACATCTTGCTGTTGCTCGTATGATGAACAGTCGATGTTCCAGATGGCTACGTCGTTGTCATTGGCGCCTGTGATGTAGTATTGCCTGTTGTTGTATGTCGTTACTGCGGATGCGAGGACCTTGCCCTCGTGGGCTTTCCAGCGGGCTATGCACTGGTACTTCTGGCTGATGTTCGCGGTCTGGGTGTCTTTGTATTTGCCGTAGTGAACTGTGGAGTGTTTCTGCAGAAGTTAGTTGCGAACCATGGGGAGAAACGTGCGAACGTACGCTTGCGGATCCTGATCTGGAAGCACTGAAGAGATATCCCCAGTTCATCTGTAGGGTCATGATGTCGCCCTTGTGGCTCTTGATCACCCTCAGCTTGGACTTGGTATCGAGGTCCCACAGCTCAATGATGCCCTGCAGTTTTCCTGCATAGAGAAACGAGCCGTCAATGGCCAAAGACATGACCGACTCAGCATCATCAGACCCAAGCGACATCAGCTCCTGGAGACCCGGCTCCCGGTCGCTCTCCTCAGCCTGCTTGTCTCCCTCGGCGCCGAGCTTCCACAGCTTGATCGTTCCGTCGCCACCTCCGGTGATGAGAACCTCCTCGTCAGGCTCCACCAGGACCGTCGGGCCTTTCGCCATCAACATCGAGTATACATAGCCGTAGTGCGCAAACATCTGCAGCGCTCCCGGGTGAATCTCGACGACCTTCTCCGACCTAGGAATCTGGGTCCACCGCTCGTCGGTACGACGCGGCGTCGTTGATCCTCCTGCAGCCCTCGAGTCGAAAAACCTGTGATTCCTTCGGTCGGGGTGCTGTGACGAGTCGTGAGGCACCCCGTTGTTCGGGTCGGACAAGCTGACCCATTGTATGGAGGTGTTCTGCGCGCCGACGTAGACCGTCTCGTGCTGCGCGCTGTAGGCGACGGAGAAGATGTCGCCGACGTCGTAGGTGCTGTAGATCTCGTACAGGCGCTTCATCGTCTTCGGGCACCACACGTTGATAAGGGGGTCGCCGGCGCTCGAGAACAGCATCGAGCCGTCGGGTGTCAGGTACAGGCTCAGGACGCTGCGCTTGTGCGCCTGCACGATGCGCTCCTGGTGGAAGGTGGCCAGCGACCACACGACAATCTCGCCATCCTGTGTGCCGGCGTATATCCGCTCCTGCTCGGCGCTGACAGCGAGACAGAGGACAGAGCTGTCGTGCTTGAGGTTGTGGAAGAGTTCGGGGGCGACCGTGCCGCAGTCGTCCGTGTCGCTCAGGTTCGTCGAAAGGTCGGAGGCCGCGATTGCGGAGGGCATCGTGTCTTCTGGGGCGCGGAAGGAAAGCGTGCGTCAGCAATGTGCGTGTCTCTTGAAGGCAGGTACCCAAAAGCAGACTTGGGACAAGAATGGAACGAGACGAATGTGCGTTTTTCGCCTTTTCTTTGCCAGTGTGGCAGCCCGTTGAGGAAATTGAGACAATGAGGTGAAATTGGGCTGGCGTCGGCTGATGGTGTGACGCATATCTTTTGGGAGGGTCCCCTAAAATGCCACCGCTGCGGTATCGCAACGAAAATGGCGAATGACGAAATGCGCTAGAGGGGGGCCCTGGGACGCGCTGCGCTCTCGAGGTCTCGCCTTTCCAGGTGCACCCCTAGCGTGGATCCCCCGGAGCGAAAGACTCCAGACTTCTGGGTTGGGTGGATCGGTGCTGCAGTTCTCGGGCTCTAGCTCCCGCTGCCGCGGGGTCCACTGCTGTATTTTCAGGGGATTCCTAGGAACCAGCGTGACACTGGTCGCCGAGATGCGAAAGGCGTCTCGTGACAGTCTACTTCTCTCTCCTCAAGACACTCGTCTTCTGTCGCAAACGGGGCTTCGTCGGTGGTAGTCATGGAGATTGGAGCATACGCGAACAAAACTCACCATCTTCATATTCCGAAGACTCTTCTGACTCGGGAGACAGCTCAACCAGCTCGTCCTGGATCTTGCGGCACCCCTCGCAGTCGTCCCCCGGAGTGTGCCCTCCTCCTGACTCAAAAACCACAGCCATCTGCGCTGTGTGACGGCTCCTTTCTGTCCTCTGCTTAATCGACAACGGGCCAGCTGGATCGATGTGTGGCTCCTCTGGCTATTCTCGTCCAACTTGGTGGGGAGCTCTCTATTTGTACGGCAGCTCTGGACGCTTTGTCTCTCTCACCGCTTCATGACGCAACATTGGAGGGGATGGTATCATACGCTCGGGGAGTCAGGTCAATCAAACGATAAGACTCGAATAGAAACAAAAGGCCAGCGTTAAGGTATGATTCTGTCTAGAAACGAGATTAGGAAGACGACGGCCGGGGAGCACTTAATGGACATCCGGAGGGCCGAGATCGGTTGCGTGATTTCACAGCCCGTATTAAATATCTGGACGCCCGCATTGGATCGTTGGGCGCCAAGGGGCCGACCTGAAGCTGTCCTCTCCCCCATGGCCCATCTTAGCCAGTGGAAGTCCTAGCCTCTGGCTCTGGGCCAAGTGACACACGCCGGCTGAGACAGATCCGGGACGCTCGCCGACAAGAGAAGAAGGAATTCCGGCTGGAGGACCAAGGGCCTCAGAGACCCGCGTGTCTGGGCCGGCTCACCGCAAGATGACCAGTGGTCGGTCAGGCTGCGGTGCGCCCCAATCCAGGGTGCGTATGGTGATCTTCCGAGCGATCCCCCCGGCGTCTGCCCTATTGGAGGAAAACACGCGTGCTCCCGGGGATGCAAACAGAATACTGGACAGGCTGTTCAACTAGGGGATCCGAGCCGCGCAGTGGGTTGCGGTAGCTGAAGCGGCCTTCCGTTTTCTTGCCGATAGGATTGCTCCATGTTAGTGTTGGTATTGCCGGCAAGATGTTGCCAGATATTGCTGGCAGTATTGGCTCAGCTGACTTCGAGATGAAGCAAGCGATAGATGCCGGTCTCTAAAAATCCAGCCATGGTGGATCATCTGTTGGTTGCACGAGTGCGTTACCTTCGACCACCTACGATGGCTCCCGCACCCACAGGAAACCATGGCCAATGGAAGAGCTCGTTGATGACTGCCAGCTAAATTAAGGCTGACTGGCGTCAAACGGGCTTCCTTCCGGATTTGAGATGCTTTCAGGATTCAAATGACATCTACAGCATCAAGACTTCGTCTGCAAGGTTGTTTGTATCGTTTCGCATATCGCTCAAGACTTTCCACCTACAATGGCAACGGGCCAGAGAGACATCATGCAAGACGTCTCGTCAAGCCAGAGCAGGGTCATCTTGCCTCTAAGCAAGCCCTCCGCACCAGAACCCGCGGATAAATCTGTATTCCTCGCCGGAACGACCAGCAAGAGAGATTGGCGCAAAGATCTGATTGAATCTATCGCCCATCTGCCTATCACCATTTTCAACCCCTTTCGGCCCGACTGGGACAGCACATGGAGGGAAGACATGTCGGACACGAGGTTCAAGGAGCAGGTCGAGTGGGAACTGGAGATGCAGGAGCGCGCAAGCATCGTCATTGTCTACTTTGAGCCTGGGACAGAAGCCCACATCAGCTTACTCGAGTTGGGGTTGTGCGCGCGGTCTGGGAAGGCCATCGTCGCTTGTCCTGAGGGCTACAAGAAGAGGGGCAATGTCCAGGTGGTGTGCGCTAGGTTCGGTGTTCCGTTATTGGAGAGCTATGAAGACCTGCGTGATGAGTTGGTTCGGAGGCTAGAGAACTAAGACGAAACAAGCAAGAAGCTCCTAGCAAATGCAGCACCGGTGAGCTTGCTCCAGCAGACCTAAGATACCTACCTTGACAAATGATTCTGAACATCGAGGTGTGAGATACTGTGTCGACACGGTCCTCCAAAACAGCGCCGGCCCGACATGATCCCGGCTGCCACTGCCAACCTATCCGTGCCGCACATGGAACCCCCCCACTTACCCAATCCGACATGGTTCGCAATCCTCCAATCCAACCCAAGAGCTTCGAGTCAACATCGCCAATCTTGTGTTTGCTCAAATTCTTAATTTTGTTCCCCCTACTTTCTTTCGTTCGAAACAAAACAAAAGCATCGATACCCATACCAATTCTTTCACCATGGACGATCAGTTTGGCGGCCGCACCGACGATGACCTCTTCTTCGACGACTTCGAGCCCGTGGCAGACTCGCAACCCGTAGAGACAGTCGCCGCTGCTCCTCCCCCTCCCGCCGCCGTCGCGACACCGCCCGTCGAGCCACCCAAACCCGAACCTGCTCCCCCGAAACCCGCCGCAGCCGAGAAGCCTCCTCCGCCTCCCGCCAAAGCGCCGACCGCGCCCCGCGGCCTGGCAAACTCGCGATTCAACACAAACAAGCCCGCACCTGCCCCGCGTCCCCCCCGCCAACAGGCCCCCGCGCCCGCTCCTGCCTCAGCTCCCGCCGCAGCAGCACCCACCACCACGACAACCATCACCCCGGCCGCCGCCGCGCCTCCTCCCCAGGCACCCACCGGCCCAGCCGCCCAGACCCAGCAACAACAACAGCAATCAGCTCCTCCAACCGCGCCCGCGAACAAATCCGCCTCGCCCGCGCCGCCCCGCGACAAGCCGCAACACGCGCCCGCCGGCCTGGGCGGCAACACCGCCCTCAACGCCGAGGCGCGCCTGCAGTCGGGCGCGAACCCACGCACGAAGCTCACGGAGACGGAGCTGGCGGCCAAGATGGAGCAGATGCGCATCCTGAACGCGGAGAAAACGCGCAAGTTCGAGCAGGCGGAGCAGGACGAGCGCAACCACGCAGAGGCCTACGCGCGCGGCATGGAGGAGGCGCGCAAGCGCAAGAAGATCGAGGAGGAGAAGCGCAAGCGCGGCGAGGAGGAGCGCAAGCGCATGGACGACGAGAGGGCCAAGAACCGCGAGCGGAAGCTCAAGGCGATGAGCATGAAGGAGGGCGGCTGGGACGAGGGCAAGGAGGCGCTTAATGCGGAGGAGGAGAGGAGGGGCTTCCGCGGGGCGAACGGGGGGATCCGGGGGGCTAGGTCTGCGGGCCTCTCTGGCAGCAGGTTTGCTAATGATGGCGATGAGGGTGAGAGGCAGGACAGGTACGGCGACCGCGATGATCGCAGAGGTGGTCGTGATCGTGGCGGCGGCAGGGGTCGCGGCCGTGGTGGACGAGGTGGACGTGGTGGCTACGGCGATGACTTCGCCCCCAGAGACCACAGGGAACCTGGGTCAAACGGGACCCGTGATGCGAAGTCTTCTGCGCCGGAGGCGAAGGCGCCCGCTATCAACACGGAGGAGTTTCCCGCTCTTCCTGGCAAGGGCAAGACCGGAGAGACTTCGCCGCCTGTGTTGTCACCTCTCGGCAGATGGGACGATGAGATGGAGGCTTTGGATGCGAAGATGAAGAGCGACGCTCAAGCCTAGGAGGCATTCAGACGCACCGAAGCCGACAAATCTGAGTCGAACCCTCTTAGCGCCGAGGAATTCCACACCCTTGCCGAAGCGTACGGGTTCAATGTCAAGAGGAAGGACGACACAGCTCGCGAAGCCCGAGACGCTTGAGATACCCACTGAGGATTCGTCTCGGATCATCTCCAGAGACAACATGTATGAGCACATCGAGTTCTGCGCCTTGGAAGACGCACTGAGCGGATTACGAAAACAACGACGGCATATTGAACGTTGTCACGCAGCAGGAGTAGCAGCGGGTGGGTAAAATTATGAGGGCGCTTTGTAGCATTTGCCCCCGTTGCAGGTGGGCGACTATGGGCGTTTGAAAATGTAGAAGCCCGTTATTAGCGTAAATACATAATTGCCCATGAATCCAAGCCGCCGGCCAAATCAAAGTCCCAAATGTGCCTGGGTGGTAGACCTAGTGTGTTTAAAAGGCTGCTCTGACTTGCGCCGTGCTCCAACGCCGTGTTCGAGGCCTAAAAGACTTAGTATGGACAACAATGAACTCCAGTGGTTCGTCACCCACGTTACTGTGCATTCTGATAAAAGCAATGTCGAAAACCATCTTGCGGCCCTTTTTGGTTGAGCTTCCTAGTCATCGATTGACGACACCCGTAGGAAAGGCCTGCTGATATCCATTTTTTGACGTGGAGCTTTGCCGGTAAGCCAACGGGGTGGTGCCATTGGTCGCCAGGCGATTTGAATTGACCGTTGCAAGAGGAGGTCAGCTTTGCGAAGATGGTAGCTGTTCCTCTCAGTCCCTCTCGCCATAATCCCCCGCCTGGCTTTCACCCTCTGCATTATCCTCCGTGTTGCCATCTGTTGCGTCGTCTGTTTGTCCTCTGTGTTGGGTCTTCGTGATAGGTGAGGATGGTACTCGAGGATCTGACGGTGGTCGCGAGGAATCTGAGTATGGTAATGAGGCATCCAAGGATGGTACCGAATGATCTGGGTCCTACCACCCTCCGCGGTATCCCCTGCCACCGCGCCCACGGTAGCCGCCACCGCTTCGAGGACCCCTCGGGCCACCATGGCCCATGCCGTCATCTTCGACGGGCGCCCTTCGGTGGCGCATTTCCTTGGGAAAGGCCTCGTATGTCTTGCGCATCTGGGCGTAGCCAAGATGCATTTTTCCGTAAAAGTGATCGGCCAAGCGGCGGTCGTTGTCGAGCCTACTCAGGTAGGCGCCACACACGTCGCATACCTGCAGCTTCTGGTGGCCAGACGGACCTGAGGTGTCGGACAATGCCTTGAGCTCCTTCTCGCGGTCCAGCTTCGTTTGTTGTGCCTGTCGCACGCGATAGAATTCGTCGATTGAGCGGGACACTTCACCCATCTCGCCGAGGATTTCGACTTCGAGGGTGCCGTTCTGGATCGTGGATGACAGATCCGCAATGCTTCTTAACTGCAGACATAATTAGCATGCGTCTCTGCGCAACAAGGATATCCCAGATGGGAGCATACCAAAGCATTTGTCTGTCTAATTTCGTCCGGTGTCTTCTCGAGCCTGCGCTGGGCGGCGTCTATTCTCCTGTTGCAGTCGTCGATATATTTTTGCAGGTCGCGCATATAGTCGTACTCGAAACCGTACTTTTGTTTGTCCTTATCAGGCAAGCCCTCGTACTCAGCCTTCAGCGCCTCCGAGTGCTGCTTCGGGCAGGGACCCAAATCCTGCTTGGTATTTGTGAAAAGGTCGTGAGGACATGTGCCGACGAGGAAAGATCTGCAGACTTTGGGGTCGGTCATGGACAGCGAGGCCGATCGCGTGGTGGCCGAGCCGCCCATCAGCTGCTCGAGCAGCTTTCTTTGTTCCGCGGCCATGGTCTTGTGTCAATTGGCGTCGTCGAGCTTTGTTCAGGGTAGCTGGGTCTATGAATAAGAGCGATTGTCGCGAGATTATGGGGAAGAAATGCTTGAGAGCGTGACGCGCCGGATGGGAGTTTGGGGCGGAACGTGGAAAGCTAGCTGCATGGAAATTCAAGCGTAAATGGAAGCTAAGGTTACGTAAATAATTCTGCCAGTACCCACCGCCTTCCCGCGTCCCTCCAGGTAGCCACCTACACCACCAGCACCCTTCGCGGCTCTAAAGGACCTCCTGTGCCATCCATGCGCTGGCCGAGCAGGGGAGAGCGAAAGCCAGCAGACGTCACTCTCTTGCGCGAAACTCTTTCAAAATGCGCCAGTTACTGGCGGCCCTTCTCTTCTTATGCCTCGCTGCTTCCGGCACAGCCGCGGACTATCATGAGCAGCTGAACCTCCGGCCACTGCCCCTTTCCGCCCTGTTGGCGAGCTTCAACTTCCGGTCCAACACGTCGCTGGCTGACTTCGAGTCGCAAAACTTCCGCTACTTTCCCCGTTCGCTCGGACAGATTCTGCAATATGCCGGCACTCGCGAACTGCACTTGAGGTTTAGCTTGGGACGATGGGACGCTGAAAGCTGGGGTGGCCGGCCTTGGGATGGTCAGCGGGAGGGCGGAACAGGCGTGGAGCTTTGGGCTTGGCTGGAGGCAGAGACGGATGAGGAGTATGTTGCTTGCTGGCTTTCTGGTCTGATTGAAACTAACTTTGCTCAGAGCCGATCAGAAGTGGTTAACCCTCACAAATGCCCTCTCGGGTCTCTTCTGCGCATCTCTGAACTTCGTCGACGGAACACGAACGACGCGACCAGTCATGTCATTCCAGCCCGAGGGCGACCACCCCGAAGCCTCCATACCGAATATGCAGCTTCTGCACGGCGTCCTCCCGAAGGAGGTCGTCTGCACGGAGAATCTTACGCCTTTCTTGAAGCTGCTTCCGTGCAAGGGCAAGGCGGGCATCTCGAGCTTACTCGACGGCCACAAGTTGTTCGACTCCTCCTTCCAGAGCATGGCCATCGACATCAAGCCTGTGTGCCCCGAGGGGCAGGAGTGCGTTCTACAGATCGAGCAAACAATCGACATGGTCCTGGATATCGACCGCTCCAAGCGACCCAGAGACAATCCGATTCCCCGTCCCCCTCCCGGTCACGAGCTCAAGTGCGACACATCGAAGCCTTACCACTCAGACGATACTTGCTATCCTATCAGTCACAGTCTCGGCCAAGACTGGACTTTGTCCCAGTTGTTCGGGAAGACAGTCAAGGGGGTATGCCCTTTGACTGACGAGGATGTGCCCCCGGTATGTATTGAAGTCCCCCATTCGAGGGGAGTCTTCACGTCGGGAGGTGCTACAGAGATCCTCGATCCCAACGGAGTATCGCGGTGCTTTAAGTTCGGTCATGAATCGGAGTTGGAGATTGTTTTGCCTCTTGAAAATAAAGAAGGTCACGACGCTGCGGACGAGCTTGTTGAGCCGGCGACCCCTCTGATTTACGCCGAGCGAAGTTTCACCGGCCATGGGCAGGAGCACGGTGGCATGCAGGCTATCCTGACAAACCCCAGCAAGGACACCGAGGTGGAGTTCATTTACATGGAATCTCTTCCTTGGTTCATGAGGGTCTATCTGCATACCCTCAACGCTAGGATCGAGGGCTCATCAGGCTCTCAGCCATCCATCATAGAAGACATTTACTACCGTCCAGCCGTGGATCGCGCCAGGGGCACACAGCTCGAGCTGCGCATGCGAATTCCTCCCGCCTCCACAGTCTTCCTTACCTACGACTTTGAAAAGTCCATTCTGCGATACACTGAGTACCCTCCTGACGCAAATCGCGGCTTCGACATTGCTGCTGCCGTCATTACCACTCTCAGCCCCCGCACACAAAGCACGCGGACAACGACCCTGTTGCTGAACCTCCCAACACCGGATTTCAGCATGCCCTACAATGTCATCATTTTCACGTCGACGGCGATCGCCCTCGCTTTCGGCGGCATGTATAATATCTTGGTCCGGAGACTTGTCGGCGCCGATGAAGGCCCGAGCCCGGTGCTCAAAGCCAAGTTAGGTCGGCTTTTGGGCAAGTTCAAGGGAAGGGTTTCGGGAAAGAAATAAAGAAAATCAAGATTTTGCGTTCATCAGTACCCTCATTTCCCAAGAAGCCGTATCTCCTGGCCGAACAGCCTGCTCGTTGCCGTTCCAAGTGACAAACTGAACTAATCATGATCAGTAGCCTTTCAAGGATGTCGGGAATTTAATTTGAATTGAGGGGATCAGCACGGAAACGGTCCGTTGCGTCTCAGGCACCACGTTATGTCTCGGGTATCGTCTTTTCTACAAACAGCTCACATGAGGTCCAACCTGCATCCGTTTCCGGCCTCTACTTTGCGGAGACGCGGACAGAGACCCCATGTCGACGGGAGCCATGTTACACGGCGTGCCTCAAGTGCATGTGTGCAACACACGTCGACGTCCCTCGTTCGACTTGTTGGCAACAAAATGCGGAGCGAGATCTGTGCTACCATCGGGCCTACTCGTCGACCTGCATCCAGCAATCGCCTCGTCCTACCGCCATGGTCCTTCTTCATCACATCGACGCATCCTTACCCGTTTCTGTGAATCCTTTTTTTTCTTTTTGCTTTTTTGTCGGGCAAGTGTTGCCGGAGTCGATGGCATATTCACCTGCGGATGTGCTACGCATGCTACGAGAACCGGGTAAAGATTCGGGAGACCACCTCATCCCTTTTCAATGCATAGCTCGGACAACGAGCGGGGTTGAGATCAGGTACGAAGCTTCAGGTGGTTTCCCAGTCGGCTTGAAGTCTTGGGACGATGGAGATGTCATTCCAGCCTCTTTTCGAACTGTGAGAGCTAACGGGATGCTCTCAAAAGCTGGGGCAATATCGGATGGGTATGTCTCAAGCTGCCTGGCGACTCCATTGGCACTTGTAAAAAGTAATAAACGACCCAATGGCCCCAGTCTGTCTGTTCGTAGTAACCCTGTAGATTGCTGTTTGTTTCTCTGCATGGGTCTGTTTGAACGATACGAAAATGCAGGTTCCCTCCACCCCGGAATCGCACACGAGCACCTGATGCCGTACACCCACCTGGGCCAAAAGTCGGGAATCCCTCTTCACATATCTAGACGCGAAAGCCGGACTTTATTCTTCCTCTTGCCAGTCCAAGTCACGGATCAAGGTCATTGAGGGCTCACTTCAGCGGACATGCATCTGACAACTGTTCTGGCGGTTCTGTCCCTCGCGGGCGTTGGCTCTGCCGTTTTCGGAGTCACGGGAGAATCTCAAAAGAAAATTCCCGTCGGAGGCACGAAAAGATTCATTCTCGAGTTGTCAAAGGTGAGTGGTCCTCATAGAAGACCCGCGTGTCGGATGACATCAAGAGATGCTAACATGTGACCGGCAGGACTCTGACTTGGAGAGACTGACCTCAGAGCTCTCAACTCGGGAAGGCACGAAGCTCTATAAGACCTTTGAGAGCGAAATCTTTACTGGCGTCAGTATCGAGACTACCGTTGAGAATGAAGAGACACTTCGCATCCTGCAGAACGTCGGCAATGTGTGGCAATCAAGACGTATCGAGATGGCCACGGTTGAGAATGGTAGGGAGTTCAGCAGTGCTGTTTCCGCAGCGAACTACTCCATCCACAACATGACTGGTGTCAACAAGCTTCATGAGGCTGGCATCCTGGGAAAGGGCGTCAAGGTCGCTGTTGTGGATGCTGGTGTTGACTATAACCATCCTGCGGTGAGGCCTTTTCCTTCGTATTAGTTACTCCTCAGGCACTGACTTGGGACACGTAGCTTGGCGGAGGCTTTGGTCCCGGATTCAAGGTCATCGGCGGTTACGATCTTATTGGCTCTTCATGTAAGAGTATCTCCATTCACAAATTATCCGGCATCGCTGACATATGTGAAAGACTGGCCTGACCAAGGCTTTGACAAGAATCCGGATGATGATCCCATGGAAGGAGGCAGTAATGGCCATGGAACCCATGTTTCTGGCATTGTTGCTGGAAAGTCTGACAGGTATGGACTGATGTAGCGATGTCTACTGCTTCAATCTTTAACTGACTCCCGCTTAGTTGGCAGGGTGTTGCCCCTGAAGCCAATATCCTATCCTACAAGGTCTTTGGCGACAACGATGTGAGTTCCCTGACGCATGAAAACCGACACACCAGTTGATATTTGATGGACAGAGTGGCCAGACGGATGAAGAAACACTTATCGACGCGTTCCTGCGAGCGCTCGCTGATGGAGTAAGTCAGGATCACATATTCCGGCACACCTCACTAACTTTCCCACAGGCAGACATCATCACCTCGTCAATTGGCGGTCGTGGAGGCTTCGCCAACAATGCGTGGGCAGAGGTTGCCTCTCGTATGGTTGACCAAGGCGTGATAGTAACCATTTCGGCTGGCAACGATGGAGAGAGTGGTCTCTTCTTCCCTGACAATGGTATGTCTGGCAAGAACGTCCTCGCTGTCGCTTCGACTGAGCCAGACAACGTTCCCGGTTTGCCATTCGAAGTTACGTTCAACGACGGGGAGCACAAGAGCACAGCTACATGGGCCTTTTTCTCTGGCACTCTCACGCACAACTTTCCGCTCAACGGAACACTGCAGGTCATCGCCTTGACAACGGATCCGAAGAACGTTACCGTAGGATGCACCAAATTCCCTGAGGACGTCGACTTGTCCCATGCTCTGGTGGTGGTCCCTCGCGGAGGCTGCAGCGCAGCTACGAAGCGCTACCTTCTCTTCGCTGCCGGCGCTGAGCATGTGCTCTTCTTCAACGATGAGAAGATATTCCCTCTGCCCGACAATTGGGACACTCGAGGCGCTGACGGCATCATTGGTCAAGAAGAAGGAATCGCTCTCACCAAGGCCTTGGCCGATGGCGTCACCGTCCACGCCAGGTTCTTCGAAGAGGACAAGTTGCCCCTTCTCAACATGAAGAACCCCGCAGTTTTCGCCTCGTATTTTACTTCTCTGGGTGGTCTCTACGACTTGAGCATCAAGCCTGATATCGCAGCGCCTGGTAGCAACATCTTTTCGACCTTGCCCCATGATCGATTCGGCCTCAAGTCGGGCACTTCGATGGCGACGCCGTACGTCGCGGGCATTGCAGCGCTCTACATTGGCAAATATGGCGGGAGATGGGTTCACGGCCCGGATTTCGCCAAGAAGCTCGCAGCTCGGATCATGTCCAGTGGTGACTCCCTTGGCTGGTCGGACGGCACAAATGTGACGGATTACGGTGCATATGCCCCCATCTTCCAGCTTGGCACTGGCTTGGTGAATGCCACCAAGGTTTTGGAGTACCAGACCGAGCTATCTTGGGCCAAGTTTGCACTCAATGACACGGCTCACTTTGAGTCCTGTCAGCGAGTCAACATTACTAACAACTGCACCGAGCCGGTTACCTACAAGTTCTCTCATCAGGCCGCCGGAGCTTTCGAGGCTTTGACTGGCAGACTTGACTTCGCCTCAGGTCCCGGTTTGGGGATAGACTTTGCTCCCATCGAAGTGCCCGTTAACGTCACCTTTCCTGAGGGCGAGTTCACCGTCGAGCCTGGCCAGACTAAGGAAGCAACGTAGGTCTAATCCTTCACTCCTTGGAGATGCTTGATTGACTGACCCAGTGTTCAAGATTTCACTTCAACCCTCCCAAGGGTTTCAATGCGTCGGCATTGCCGGTGTACAGCGGCAAGATTCTCATTAACGGCTCCAACGACGAACAGCTGTCCGTCCCCTACATGGGCGTTGCGGCCGACGTTCAAAAGACCTTCAGACAGATGTTTAGCGACAATTTCCCGTACATCCTGTCGACCCAGAACATGACCCGCATTGAAGATGATTCCACGTGAGTTTGCGGGGATATGCCAACGTTCAGCTGCGATGCGCTAACGGCTACTTAGATTTTCATTTGACCTGAGCATTGGACAGCAAGACTTCCCCCGGCTGTTCATCACCATGCGCTGGGGTGCACCGCTTGTCCGATGGGACATCTTCGAGAGGGGATGGACGGAGAAGAACTGGACTTATCCGCCTGTGCCCGGCGTGAATGGTTTCATCGGGATGGCTGCTCCCTGGGTGAGAAACTCCCACACATGTTTACGCTCTTGTCGTGCTAACATTGGCGGAGAACAACGAAAACTATGTGTCCGTCTTCGACCCCGAGACTGACAACGAGCTCGACATCGTCAGAGGCCCACTGACCGAGCTATCTCGTGATGCTTACGGCTACTCGGTGTATCGGTTCTGGTGGCTAGGCCGATTCACAAACGGGTACAAGATCAGGCCTGGTAACTACACGTGAGTACCTCTCTACCTCCCGAATCTAAACTCTGCCCGATGTTGACGATAGAACGATAGAATGCGCGTCGCTGCCCTGCTTCCTTTCGGCGACCCTGACCGTTCTGAGCACTGGGACATCTGGAATCATGATTTCAAGGTTGTGCTCGGCAACTGGACGACGCCTTTCTCGGCGAAGAATGCTTTGCCTCCTGTGCCGCTCCGTGATTGAGCAAAGTGAAGCTCATCGCTGTGGAACTTAGAACTTGGCGTGCGTCCTCTGCGTTCGATGCCCCAATGACGTCGTAGTAGTACTTCAAGCAAAAGTTGTAGTCTCGCGGGCTTTGTAACATGGCATGGGACTTGCCATGTTGTATCATTCTTGTTTCTAAATTCTTGGCCTGCTATCTCTCTTCAAAAGATCCAGCTTGTCAATTATTTGCAGTTTAGAATTCATACTTCAATCCTCGAGTTAAGGCCACCGAAGTAACTATCTCGTTACAACTGCGTAATTTCACATGAACGAATCACAGATGCTATTCTTTTGAGCCCCGCAGCATCAGTCCGGTGAGTCTACTCGCCTCAAGTATTTCCCTCACTCGGCTACCAGCTCCTAGTAGAGAGCAAAACGGTTTGACGGCTGCGCCTTTCCGTCAAAATGATTCTTGTGCGTCGCGACACCCGCAAGGATACCGCGTCAGCCTCTGAAGTAGGGCTCATTCAGAGTGTAGCGAATGGTACTGGTGGCAAGGTCCGCCTGGTGTCGAAGATAGAGGGGCTAGCAAATTGATGATCAATGTGACGGACGTAACAAAGAAAACGGCTACTGCTCTCGAATCATATAGGTCAAAGTCAATTAGGGTATTTATTAAGCTGGATAAGCTGGATTAAGATATCATCGTTATGTTCGCGGATGCGTCCCAATTAGCTGACAATTGATAGGTGGAGTCTCAATTATGACACCAATTTGGAGCAGTCAGCAAGCTTGCCCAAATCGTTTCCTAAGATGCTCATTTTCGCCATCCTACCCAAAAGGTTAGTCGACTTCTCAAAGCAAAGCCATTAGCAAACCACTCACGCAAGCTTGAAAGCGGTGTTCCAACGCGCCTGGCTCGTGCCGAAGCCTTTCCAAATGTTCTTCGTCTCGGTGGCGTTGCTGACGGCAACATCACTACCGAGGGAGGTGGGTGATGTTTCCTTGACAGTCTCCGGGTAGAAGGTCGTGCTGTCCAGCTTGTCGGGGGTCGAGTCGAACGCCAGCTCCTGAAGGCTAGTTCCTGCGCTGTGCGCGCCAAGGAGAGCCACCAGATCGGTTGCCGTAAAGCCCTTCTTCTTGAAGGCGTTGATCTGAGTGGCGGCATCGGAGTCCTGTGTGGGCAATACGCCCTCGGGGTTGGGCACACTGGAATCTTTGCGGCCAACCCAGAGGTACGTCTTGGGACCACCGCAGGCTGCAACGGCAAGTGCTGTGGTACTTGTTAGTGATTTCGTGAAACCAATGCCTGATCCAATCTTGACTCTTACATGCTGCCGCTTGAATCATGTCAGCGGTGCCAACGCTGTACTCGACTGCCTTCTGGCCAAGGGTGTCACAGATAGGCTGGATCTGGATGTTTTCCTCCCTGTCCAAGTACTCATTGGCCAGGATCAGTGAGCCATCACATGCACCTGGGAAGCAGTCGTGGAACGAAGCTCTGATAGCTTGTCTCGCTTCGGGTGAGCACCCAGCGAAGGTAGCCTTCAGATCTGCGGCAACCTTCGTCCATACTGGCGGGCATACGTGAGCATGGGAGGTTGCGATGACCGACAGAATGATCGGAAGAAGTGATGTGAAGTTGAGAAATGAACGCATCATGATGAGTATTAGGAATTAAGGTGAAAGTTCTGCAAAGTTGCATCGATGACGAAGGCTGGAGAAGGCAGGACTGGAACGAATGACAGGCAATGCATTACAACTCAGACTAATAGACGTACCAGACAGCTCTCTTAAACTGTCTTCCATTGTTCCTCCGCCGAACTTTCTTCCGGCTCCAATCAACTCCATCAAACTTCAGGCGCGTCGACGTGCGCGTGCTCAGGCACGCCAAACACGTTGGTCTTTCTAGAACGGTGAGCCAAAGCGCTGGTAAAAGGGGACTAAATAAGCCGTCCGTCAACTTGAAGTTCTCATTTGACAAGACGAAGATGGCTTACCTGAATACGGGAAGCTTACAACCTTACTCTATCTTGACGGGGCTTGCCGTGCTGTGCGCTTCCTTCTTAGCGCCGGTGGCTCTGGAAGCTTTACCTACAAAGGACGATCGTTCAGGCACAGCAACTTTTTGCAGTCTAGTCGCTAGCTATTCTGGTCGTCGTTGGCCTCAATCGGTCAATTAGCTTAACCTAAACTCTAACTAGGCGGGAAAGGCGCGCAGCGCCACCAACCGTTCGCTCACTGAAAGACAGCATCGCCAAATTGCCAGTCGTCAAAGCACCTGTGATCTAGCTCAGGGGAACATCGAAGTTTGCCGCGACAGACAACTCCCCGCACCCTGGATCTAGCTCCGCCCCGCGCCAAAGACGTGACGGCGGAAACCTTCTCGAATTGTTTGCACTTGACGTCCCGATCATGTTTGTTTCTTCGGACGATCTTGTAAGATTGCCAAGAGAAGCCATGCCGCTACCGCAGTCGCCTGAAACAAGAGCGCTTGCACGCGACAATAGAGGCTAGGCGCGTCTGGATCTCAATGACAGATACTCAAGTGACTATCGTGAGAATATGCCACCATCTTCACCTCACTCGCGACTCTGGAATGCGAGTATATCTACTGACTTCAGGCCCACCACCACACACTCATCTCCATTCGCTCCAGTCACTACTCTCTAAACCAACAACATTCGTTCTTTTCATTATCTCTCTTGTCAGTTCTTTCAAGATGGTCACTCTTTACTCTCCTTTCGGCAGCTTGCCAGTTGCGCTTCTTGCGCTTGCCGCTCTCTGCGAAGCTCAAGGTCTTGGACAATGGAGTCCTCTTATCAAGTTCCCCGTGGTCCCCGTCTCCGTTGCACTCCTCCCCGAGTCCGGAAACCTTCTTGTCTGGTCTAGTGGCTGGCCGTAAGTTACCTCTAATTGCAATCAACTCATCGAATACAGGTCATTAGGAGACATGCTAATGCAATTACGACACAGCAACCGATGGACAACCGCTGGCAACGGCAAGACTTACACGTCACTCTACAATGTCCAAACCGGCAATGTGAGCGACGCTGTCATTCAGGTAAATCATGTCTTGTCTACAACTCCCTCTATTTGCACACTTGACTAACCCTGACCACAGAACACTCAGCACGACATGTTCTGCCCGGGTACTTCCTTGGATGCCGAGGGACGTATCATTGTTACTGGAGGCTCTAGCGCCGCGAAGACCAGTGTCCTTGATTTCAAGAATGGCGAGTCCTCTTCCTGGACGGCACTCTCCAACATGCAGATCTCCAGAGGCTACCAGTCTAGCTGCACTACGTAAGTACAAGTCGCCTCCGCCAATTCCAAGCACATGCTTATCGAACTCGCGACTAGTTCTGAGGGCAAGATCTTTGTCATCGGAGGCTCTTTCTCTGGAGCGGGCACCCGCAACGGAGAGATCTACGACACCGCGACCAACAAGTGGACGAAGCTCGCCGGATGCCCAGTCAAGCCTTTGGTCATGCAGCTCGGCATGTTCCCTGACAGCCACGCTTGGTTGTGGTCATGGAAGAATGGATCCGTCCTCCAGGCCGGCCCGGCCAAGCAGATGAACTGGTACGACACGAAGGGCACTGGCGCCAACACACCTGCCGGTCTGCGTGGTGCCGACCAGGACTCGATGTGTGGTGTCTCCGTCATGTACGACGCAGTAGCTGGAAAGATCTTCACGTAAGTCATACATGACAACTTTTCACAGCCAGTCTAAGACGACAACTCTGACCAATATACTAGCTATGGCGGCGGCAAGGGCTACACTGGCTACCAGTCCACCAGCAACGCTCACATTCTCACCCTCGGCGAGCCCGGTCAACAGGTTCAAGTGCAGAAGCTTCAGAACGGTCAGTACAACCGCGGTTTCGCGAACGCCGTTGTCATGCCCGATGGCAAGATCTGGGTTGTCGGTGGCATGAAGCAGATGGCCCTGTTCTCGGATGCCACTCCTCAGCTTACCCCTGAGCTCTTCGACCCCGCGACGGGCAAGTTCACCCCCACGGCCGCTCACACCGTTCCACGTAACTACCACTCTACCGCGCTCCTGATGGCCGACGGCACGATCTGGTCCGGCGGTGGCGGTCTCTGCGGTGCCGGCTGCGCTGCCAACAAGTTTGACGGACAGTTCTGGTCGCCGCCGTACCTCTTTGAGGCTGATGGAAAGACTCCTGCCAAACGACCCGTCATCGAGAGTCTGTCTGACGAGACTGTCAAGGCCGGCGCAGCTCTCACCATCAACATGCAGGACGAGGGCAAGTACACCTTCAGCATGATTCGCGTCAGTGCTACCACGCACACTGTCAACACTGACCAGCGCCGCATTCCCCTTGACGGTCAAGATGGCGGTGACGGCAAGTCGTTCTCTGTCAACATGCCCAGCGACTACGGAGTTGTCATTCCCGGATACTACATGATGTTTGCCATGAACGAGGCGGGAACACCTTGCGTGGCCAAGTTCTTCAAGGTCTCCCTTTGAGGTACATCTTGATCAGAAACAAAACTGCATTATGGGATAGATCAGTACGAGCATCTAATCTTGAGGAAGACCGGAAGCGCGTCATTATAAAGCAACCGGATAGACATCTAAAGGCGCACACCTTGCTTCATTATCATTAATATTAATATCAATATACCCTTCGAATCAGAGGTTATCGATCTTCACCGCCTGCAACCAGTGCTTCTTGTTCCGCATGTCTGAGCGGTGTGCCAGCAAAAGGCGGAAGAAATGCTCTTGGGCTCCCGAACATTGCGTCGTACTGCTGAGGCCTCCCTGGTGATGCCATCGTGCCCTCGAAACACGAGAATGTCCACGCGTCGGGCGAGTTAAAATCTCACAGCCCTGGTAGTTAAAGGGATGAGGGTGGGTTGTCAAGGGTCTCGGTGGGACCGAGAAACATCGCAAGCCTCCAACGGCCCCCACAAATAAGGCATGGCCCATGGAAGATTCCGTCCAACACAAGGAGAGGGAAATAACCCTTACATCCGCGTGGGAGGTGTCTCTTCTAGTATGAAGCTTATTCCAGAGTGCTGGGCCCATTAATCTTTTAGAATGTGACATCACCCACTCGGGTGCCATCCTGAGAAAACGAGAATCTCGCTCACGATGGATGTGGATGACGTCAGAAAAACCCCCTGCTGAGATGATGATACGACATCTCGAAACAGCACTGACATGGAGTTTTGAACAATGAGCATGCCCAAAATGATGATCTATCGGTGGGCTTTCACCGCTCCCGTGACTGCCGCTTTTTGACGCGATGTTTGCTCGTTGGCCCCCATCCAATTCCGTATTAGTTCGTGGCTTTAATGATGATCTTCTGCAACCCCGGTCATCTATTGCCGACCCGCAGATCAGAATTCTCCGAGCGTCAGAGCACCAACACTTCGTCACGTCTTTTTGCAAACCATTTGATTTAGTGAAATTTCGAGTAAGCTTGGATCGGCGCGCTGATTCATTAGAGTCGATTTCAGAGCCTCAAGGCTGAATGTAAAGCTTCTCGTAGCTGTGAGCGAAGATTCGAAGATTTCCGAGGTGCCGGTTTGGTATCGGATCTTGGTGGCTTATTCTGACAGCTCGCTAGCGGATAACCTTTGAAACAGAAACCTTGTTTGCGGGAGTTGCGAAGGATTTCCATTTTGCAGTTCCTAAACGGCAAACCCGGAACAGACCCCCGGTTCGTGGGACCCAACCCAATGCAAGGGGTCTCCAAAGCCAACTGCCCTGTCAACCCGAATTGATCATGATGTGCAACCCAAAGAGGAAGTATGGAGTGCGATCCTCGTCTTCGGGAAGTTGTTGAGAGTCATAAACCCAGTCAATTGATAATTGCGTTCGGCATAGGCAAAAGCTGGGGTACGATGCCTTGACTGCCATGCCCCTTTAGCCTCTTGATGGAGGATGATTCTTGGGCCAACATAGAGTCCATCGTGTACTTAAGGAGACAACTTGATCTCTCCAGACACTCCATTCTTCTCCATCATCAGCATCCTCACCCAGTCACTCCTTTCTGGTTTCCAGCGCAAGCTCGTCATTCTTTACCAACTTACAATCACATTCGTTCCTTAATTCTTATTCATAATCCAAAACCGCCAAAATGAGATTCTCCAACATCCTCGCCATCGGCTCTATCTTCGCCACCGCCCTGGCGGCTCCCGCCATCAACAACGAGATCGAGACCTCCGTCTCTGACGTCGAGTCCAAGGTCCCCGTTGCCGGAGCCCTCAACAATGTTGAGTCCAAGGTTCCCGTCGGCTCTGCCCTGAGCACCGTCGAGTCCAAGGTCCCTGTCGGCAACATCATCGACGCCCGCGCCGAGCAGGTCATCATCACCAAGATGCAGACCACCATCGTAGAGGTCAAGAAGCACACCACCGCCATCAACTCCACCGTCTCCGGCGTCTGCGGCCCTTGCATCGCCTCCAAGAAGGAGACCATCATCAAGACCGTCAAGAGCGAGGTCACCGTCATCGTCAGCCTCATCAGCACCCTCGTCTCTGAGGTCGTCGAGCTCCTAGAGAACACCGTCGAGATCGTCGAGGAGGAGAAGCAGCAGATCATCAGCCTTGTTCTCGAGCTCGTCTTCGAGATCATCTACACTCTCCAGAACGTCCTCAAGGTCCTCACCATCAGCATCTTCGAGCTCCTCGGTCCCCTTGTCTTCCTCCTTCTCAGCGTCATCGTCCACCTCCTCACCACCCTCAACGTCATCGTCGACGGTCTCCTCCAGACTGTCTTCGGCCTCCTCGGCGGTGTCATCAACCTCCTCCTCGAGGTCCTCAGCGGCCTTCTGCCCACCGTCCTTGGCATTGTCGGCGGTGTCCTCGACAAGCTCAACCTCGGCGGCCTCATCTGCGGCCTCCTCAACTAAGCGTTTGCTTAGTGTGCGAACCTTTGCGGCGGTGTTTGGTAGCAGGAATGGTATCTCGCGGGTTTAGGGATGTCGGAGGATGATGAGTTGCCATTTGTGCTTCACATCAGAGGTCAGGATGCCCTCCGGCAGCAACCTAGCATTACGGCCTCTCTGCCTTTCAGCGTTTTATCAAGAGTAGCTTAAACCTCAATCAATGAACAAGTTACTTTTTATCTTTTGGCTTTTTCTCTCTAGCGGCTAGTCCCCTAACCAAATGAAACGCTTATTTGACCATGAGCCCTTATTAATTTCTGACCATATGCCTGACTGTCTTGTTGTAGTTCATGGCCTTCAAAATAGGTGAGATGCTATGATCAATTTATCAAAGTTCGCTAGTTTCTGAACTTAGTTCTTCATAACCTTTCTCGAGTAGTCATTCTCATCCCTGCGTCCAAGACTCTCTTTCGGTAAGCTCTTCAACACATTGCCATCAGAACCCCATCAAATGCCAAAACCCGGTCTTTGATCTTCCATTCTCCCTACCGTTTCTCAAAGGTGTCGATATATCTCACGAGAAACGTGACCCAGTTATCCTTGTCGTCGCAATGCAGTACGTCTCTGCAGCCGCCGTGATCCCGTTGTCTCCGACCTCAATCAGAGACTGCCCAATGCGGTGATGGGCTGCATCTGAGGAGGAACCTGAATTCAGAGCATCGTACATGTCCTTTGCTGGTCCGTTGTAGAATCCATGATTGTCTGTCGCATCAGAATGGAAGACCGACTGAACGAGGTCGCGGATGCCGCGGTCTGAGCCTCGGGCGAAACGATAGATTGCTGAACGAATTTCTTCCTTGTCAACAAGTGCCTGAAGGGCTGGAGGTAAATTCTGTTGTGTCTTTGTCGCACTCATTGTGTCGGTTCGGAGGATGATGCAGGAACGTTATTAGGGCTAAATGTGCCACAACCTGCCTTTCGTTGGCGGCGAAGCTCCTGGCTTATATGCACGAGATTCCGATGCAACAAATTATTTCTCGATAAAAGGACTACAATGTGAACATTCGACCTAGCGTTGGAAGCTGACAAACTTATCTGTAAAATGAAAACCGTTACGGCAAAGCTGGCGTGTTCCGCCGAGACGGTGGACGAAGGATACGAATACGGGACCGAGCCCACTGCATGCGGACAACAGCCGGCCCTCGATATCCGCTCACATACGTTATACCTATCGCTCGTTTTCAGTAATAGTTTTCATCTCTCCGCATGGGTTTCTAATATATTATTCACGCAGCAAGTTGCTGTATCATTGGGCGCCTGGACTTGGCTGAAGAAGCGCGATGCGAGTGAGTTAGGATAACGACCAAGAGCCAGAGATCCAGAATCAAAGGGATGAAGAAGAAGAGTTATTGAAAATTGTGGATGGGTTGTCAATAGCTATATCTTTGTACATTTCTGCATACGAGCAGAAGGCAGGGCACACGTCAATGCGCCCACGCCAAACACCGACATGATCTGAAGCCATTCTGTAGATCGCATTGTGCGGAGATCTATGTAAATGGCACTCAGCTACATGTAGTCATGTGGAAGAAGATAGGAACTGCCAGAATCTTTCGGTGTGAAAAGCAGTGATGACTTTCCCAGTTCAGTCACATGTTCAGAAGGAAGACTTGACATCTACACATATGATTAGCTCTCTGATTCACACGCGGGATAGCTGGGACTCCATTTGACTTGTCATGTCTGTACTTCGACGGACTCAGTGAATGTGCTAGCATATTCTCTACCATAGAACGAACCATTCAGAGGGGCTAATACCCCCCCCCCCCCCCCGAACATGTCCAGAAATCGCTCTCGTTGCGCGCAGGCCTAACAACATCACAACTTCACAGTGTTCTTCTGTAAAAGTCGCGAACTAATGAAAGCCTTCAAAGAATCTCAATGAGATTCAGTCCGTCATCGTTAGTCCCCAAATGGTCGTCCGGTCCTATTAAATTCGCCCCAGTTTGTGATCTTTCTTCAATGTCAGAACGAAAACTGCTAGGAACACCAAGTCCCCTTATCTGCCCCCGAAGTTGAGATGGTCTGACAGATCCTTCTGCGAACTTGTGAAGTGCCTTCATCGGTATACATCGCAGTATGGCCTTAGCGAGTTGTCGATTTTGGTAGTTGAGCTCAGCCGCTGTCATAAACATCCCGACCCTTCCGTACTGACCGTTGCTTGGGTGTCTCTGTAGTATCAGCCCTCGAATGGCTAGATCCACGAGGTTCACATCCAGCGGTGATCCTTTGCGCCAGTCCCAAGATATTGGGACTAAGTATAACTGTCGAGGGCGATAGGATGTCTTGTCTGTCCAAAGCATGTCCGTCGTGTCCCACCTTGTCTGAATGTAGGTTCGAGTTGTCCTGTGCCTCTTAGAAAATATAATGTCTGGTTGGCTATATGATATTCCCGCACGAGGACCGAGAGCCCAGGTGGCTTTTTCAAGCTTCTCTATGAGCGTTGTGGGCTTGACCGTCCAAGGATCTTGTGATTCTTTGTACCATTTACCCTCTCCGAACAGGCGTATGTTAGGGGCACCGCCTCGCCACTCACGTTCGATGGGTATTACGCTGGCCTCCACCTGTAATGTCGCCACTTGGAGTGCTGCGAAGCGGTCATCCTTCCTCGGAACAATGATAGCACCAAGATTTTGGCAAAGTGGGCGAAAGTGTGTCACGCTTCCGATTCCACTCATTATTTCCTGGCTTGCAATCACACTTGCCCATGACCATGATGGTCCAGCTTCCAAGTCGCGTACTGCAGTGCTTTTTGGTGGCCTGTCGAAATGCCATAAAAGGGACCCTAGTAGTGACTCTCGCCAGAGACCTGCAAGGTAGCTCTCAGGCGATAGACCAAGACGCGTCATGAACCATCTCGCAACACCGGATATGGCCGGTAGCCGGTCGCGTGGATAGGTCAAACTTTTGGGAAAGTAATAGGACCTGACAATGAGATTGAAAGACTCGAAGCGGGTTTCCAATTCGGACCAGCCGCGTGGTTTTCTTGATCTGCCAGTGTTCGTTGAAGCCATCAAAAAGTCCCTTTTGATATTGGTCCGGAAATCAATGGAGTTGGTTACATGGTCGTGGTTCATTTCTCCTTGAGGGTCAACCTCGGTCGCACGCAGACAAGGACATTCCCAGTACATCATGTTGTAGCAGCAGTGTAGAACTCTTGGCGCAAGTAGTCGTTCCTGAACGACCCAAGCGCGCTCATTCAGTGATCCCAGATCAACATTTGTTTCCCATGGACCGGCAGAAATCATTAGGAAGTCTCCATCATTCTCGGAAGCTGGCGACTCCGAGTGTTTCTTTTTCCCCAGAATCGGCAGAACTGATTTGGGTTCCCTCTCGAAAACAAGGCCGTTTTCTCCAGAAGTAGCCGAGAGATTGAGCTGCGAAAATTGGTAGATGCTCTGCATGCGTCTGATTTCCGAGGCTTTCTCCACGGAATCATCTTGATTGATGCATATTGAATCAATCCAAAGATAACGAAAGCCAAGGCAGCGAGTAACTTGAATGGCATCCTTGAAGACTTTGGATAATCTTAGGGCTGGAATTTGCCTCGAAAACTCGGCCATATTTTCCCACGTCAACTTAGTTGGCTCCGGTTTACCCCATCGATGGCTGAGGGTAAGATACTTGACTCCTGCAGGATTTTCTGTTTCTGCTTCTTGGAAATATTTGAGACTGACGCGTGTGGCCTTTTCGCAAGAGAGAAGATCGATATTGGTCCTCCCAAGTTCTTCTCTAATGATCTCTTGATCGGGATCAACGTCGATAATACGTAACGGTACGTCGTTCTCAGTCGTAATCAAAACCTGATATTGTTTGCAAATATCATGTTGATTTGAACACTCCGTCATCCACCAACGAACTTGATGCACTACCTCCCTCGTCATCGTCCGATTGCCTATGCGCTGTTCTGATTGCTTGCAGTAGAGAACTGTGAGTTAAACGGATTATCAACAGCACTCTGATAGACATCAACTCCATGACCAACTCTATTTTCTTCTTAAGGAACGTTTGCATACGTTTGGGGGAGTCCGGTCGCAGTGCTGTGACTAACGCCAGATATTTGAAGTTACCCTCGTTGGTGTCGATAAAATCGTAGACATCCTTATTACCGAGGCCAGTGCCCGAGAGCTGATACGTGGCACCTGCATGAGTCTTGAGAAAGTGTTTGTGATTCGGACCGGCTGCTGCATAGAACAGCAATGTACAAAGGCGACAGGTACCAGCGAGAGCGTTGTTAGACCAAGAATCAAAGTTGATCTCGATCTTGTTCCTGCAAACCCTATGAGTTTGCGTATCGGTTAGACCAAGCATATACTCGCATGAAGAACACAGAAAGTCCATTGGTCCTCCCTTCACAATTGTGACCTAAAAAAATAAGTGTTTACCGATTGGTACTGAAAATTGAAAGAGGGACGATGTATGCTAGGAGGATATAAGAATGCAAAATCGTTTGGACGCTAGGGCTGACGAAATAGTAATTCTTCGGGGTTCTTCTCATCTGAAGTAGTATGAACCCTCTTATAAGTCCCGGATTATTGGTGAAATCAAGAGACAAGCTCCGCAAGATCGGCAGCGCAAAGAGGGGTAAAGCCAGCTGCATACAGATGCTGTCAGCGTAATGCCGTCAGCGTAGCACAGGACAATCAGCTGAACCATTAAGGTACAGATGATCAGTATGATTAAGATGGGGACTGCTTTCTTGTAGACATGCTTGTTGGACTTTGCGTCAGAGGAACTGGCCCGAATTCTACCACCCAGATGCCCGCACCCAAACATCTACAATGTCGGATTCTTCTCCTGTGCTAGAGTCGACCACCAAATACCAGCCGTACATGGCTCCTGCAACGCATGCATGGTTAGGGTAGATCCAGACACTCTGTCCAATTTCGAGGGGTACAGGCGGGAGCTGTTCCTGGCCGCTGCCTTCTGACCCAGTATCCCACGTGAGGATAGAGTGCTCTTGACTAACTCTTCCCACAACAAGTCGATCATTCGTTTTGACATCCTTTGAATACGATTTGCGACTGACAACGCCCCATCCCTTGTAAGAAGGACACGGCTCTCGGCCAAGGCCAAGCACACCGACTGCAGCGAGTGCTTCAGGCTGTTGATGTTCACCATCGTTATATACGCTGCAGACTTCGGCCGCAACGAAGATGGCAACTTCGTCCTCGACATCTCCAAGGAATGTTCTGGCGTGTGTTGATAGTTGTTGGTTGTCAAGGACAGTATAGACACCAGCATGAAGCTCGAGGTCTACTTTGAATCCAAGTAGCTCGCCCTTGGTGACTTCCTGGATCGTGCTCCGGAGGGACTCGCTGTCGGGGTTTTGCGTCGCATTGGCCCCGGCAAAGTTCTGGACCGCGGTCACCTGTGGTGAAGCACCGACGCTGATGGTCAGCTTCTTGTCTTTGTGGAAGTGCTGGGCGTTGCTCTTCAGCGCATCGACGCAGCCCTTGATTTCCCCCGCAAGATTGTCCATAGCTTCTTTAGCGCCCGTGTCGGCGTAGCTAAGACTGCTGTGAGAGTACAGTCCAGTCAAAGTAGCTTTGCCTTCAGCTTCGAGTTGCATAACCTTTGCGATCAAGTCATTCTTGTTAAGACTTGACGGCGGCAAACCTGCGCGGTGATAGCCAGTGTCGACCTTGAGATAGATTCCAGCCGCAAATCCCGCTTTTTGCGAGAAGTGAACAACAGCATCGAGCTGTGTCGGGTGATCGATCATGAAAGTGATTGTGCCAGGACCGAGCTCGCGCGCCAGATCTGCGGCCCTAGCCGCTTGTGATGGCGGGAGAGGAATACCATAGAGAACATTGACCTGTCGGCCGTTGTTCTTAAATTCCTTTAGAAGGGGCA